AGTTTTCACAGAATATAAAGGCTGTAGCTTTCTAGGCCTTTTACAGCAAGTTCAGGCTCATTGTTTATCTGTCTGGATCACAAGTTTTATGGTTTTGGTCCACTCCCACAGCTTTCAATGTGGTGTTTCTGGATGAAACATTTTTGTTTTTTTGGATTCCTCCACTCTCTAAACACGTTAACAGCTTGATTTTGGCTGTGGCGCACTGAGAATGTCTAAAATCCTGATTTTTTTTAAAAAAATGTTTGTTTTATTTGAATAAATTTCTAATTTTTCTCGAGTTTTAGTCTCAGCCATGTCTTGAAGTGAAATGTGCATTATTTTTTAAACATTTTTGACTGCTAGAGTGTAAATAGAAAGCGATTAAATATTTTAACTAAATACTCCAAAATGGTATGTAGGAGATTGTTTTTAAACAGTCTCGTCTATATTTTTGGATAATATTGTGGGTCTATTGAGGTCGAATCTGGGGTGTCGCCTTTTCGGTAAACGTGTAGAGGAACCCAAAACTTACTGGACAGCCCTGCTGCTCTGGGAATGAATGCCCTGTGGTTTCCCAGACTGAGCTGCAGAGCGTCCAGGGGACTGTGATGTCCGAGGGATTTCTGTGGCCCTGCAACCTGATTTTACATCAGCAGGGCTACAATATTGCTCAAGAATACAGACATGACAGTTTGAAAACTATCTCCTACTTACCATGAGGAGTAGAAGGAGATGTGTGGAGACGAAATGCTAGCTTGTGCACTGATAGCAAGTCTTAGTGTGCTGAAGTATTTTATTCCAGTGTTTACAGAACGATCTTGTCTTTCTCTCAAAGCATTTTCAAAATAAATATTTTGAAAGCGTTTGGTGGATTCCTCTGTGCTAATTTAGCCAAAATTATGTTGATACTAATCAAAAATACTTGCAAAAAACCCTCATAAAGGTCTTAGTTAGCATGTCTAATTGTAAAATAGCCGAAGCATCTCACCAGAGAGGCGTCCAGGAGGCATCCTGACCAGATGCCCGAGCCACCTCTACTGGCTCCTCTCTACTCTGATTCCCTCCTGGATATCTGAACTTCTCACCCTATCTCGGGAAAAGCTCATTTCGGCCGCTTGTTTCCATGACCTCGTTCTTTCGGTCGTGACCCAAAGCTCATGACCAGGAATGAGGGCAGGAACTTAGATTGACCGGTAATTCAAGAGCTTTTTTGACTCAGCTCTCTCACGAAACCAGTACATCGCTCACTTCACTGCAGACGCTGCGCCAATCTGCCTGTGGATCTCCTGCGATAGGCACAGGATATTCAGGGGTAACACTTTGGACTCAGTGTGTATGGTTCACATAAAAATGTGTTCCTGACAGTCACAGTTAGTTAAAAACAAAGATTCCCATTAAATTCCACAGGAAATAAATGCCGTGTCATTTTTGACCAACTTAGGAAGAATGGGGTAGTGGTATAAAACATAATATTTCTTAAAATTGGTAAAAGGTAAATAAAAATTTTGAATTGCATGATATCAATAACATGTTGTTTGAGGAATATCTGGAATATGATGAGATGAAAATGTTTCATTACAAAGATACTGCAAAAAGATGACCTCAACGGGTCCCAAAGGACCCACTTATGCATCAGGGGGTTAAGGATGAATCAAAACACTAATTCAACACATTTAAGACCGAATAACCCACTTTCAGCTTATTCAGTTTTCTTGCTTTTGATATTTTACACCCAGCTTTTGGTACACGTGTCCATTCAGTTTTATTCTTGTTTCTGAACCATCAGGAGTCGTTTGGTTTGTAGAATGACTTCCTCTCCTTCTTCACTCCACGAGGAAACGATTGTACCTAAACAAAATTATATTTTCACATTCCTTAACTTTCACCACCTGCTTCACTTTTGTGTCTCTTTTCCAGTGTTATTCAAGGTTTTGCTGAACATCTGCAACACATTATTTCTTTTAAAGAAGGCTTTTACCATCAAAACTTGTTTCCTTGTGTCCTGGAAAATGGATGTGAAAAATGGGCTTTCTCAGCTTTCTTTTACAATTTTCAACTGATCTAGGAAAAAAACTTCCCTTTAATCATGTCTTTCCTCAGCAAAGATGAAAATGCATTACTTTTATCTTCTAGGATGAACTTACCTTCAACTACCTTGTGATTTCAGTTTTGCTTGTATTCAAGAACATTACAGAGTATTGGTGCTAATAAATTTGTTTGGTCTTTCCCTTTATAAAATACACCGAATGCAAAGCACGTATGCATGTTAGCATGTAAAGATGTTATTTGCTCAGTATGTGATGTCCCAAGCAGGTCTGCATTTTCTGCAACAAATTGTCTTGAGGACTGGAGCATAGCATGATCTGGTTGACAGTTCATCCCATTTTCAACATTTCTTTGCTAATAAGCAGATTTTAAATGCCAGGTATAAAGACTTGAGTCGAGAGAAAGTTGAGTTGCAAAAACAAACACTTCGGCCTTGACTTCGACTTTTCCTCTCATGACTCTAGACTCGACTTAAATTCGCGATCTGGGACTTGATGCTCATGAAAAAAATTGCGTCGGAGAATAAGCTGCACGGCAAGAGTGGATCATTTCAGTCGATGATTAATATTGTCCCACCTAAGTTACTGTAGTGTAAACAAATGGCTGATTGTTATGGCAACACAAAACATAATGCCTGAGTTTACTTTTTGTTGTGCCAGGAGCAGGAGCTAACAGCCAACGATTTTAGTAATACACTCCAGCATTGTTCACGGTTCGGGAGCCACAGATGCACGTTTTCCTGTTCATGGATCCGTTGATTTGATTTATTTGCAAGAAATGCTCACAAATCTGGAGGTATTAATGATCCACAAAAATGTGTTCATGTCAGCTGTTCCCACATTGAAACGACCAGTTCAATTGGTTCAGTTCAGAAAAAAAAGTCTAATTTATGTCTGACATCAAAAAATGTTTTGGTTTATGAAAATGAAAGCACTTGTTGTTTGAATTATTTAAAAAACTATACTATTTATTTTTGTAAAAGTGAACAATTGAATGTTCTAAAAAAAGTTATAAGCTAAATTTGGTGTAAGGATAACATGACATGCTTGGAGTTTTCTGCAAGATACTGAGGTTAATTTCCTTCAGCACATATAATGAGCTTTTGTCATTATTAAATACAATTAATAATCCGGCACTAGTTAACAATTTATAACATAAGGCATCCGAGAAACACAAATGAAGTGAACTAAATCTAAACTTTGAATTGTCTGATTGTGAAACCCTTCAAAATATGTTTTAATTAGTTTTTACTGGAACATTTTTCAGATGTCAGACTCAGAATTGATCCCGTACAAAGAACACTTTTCGAAAGGGGAAAAAAAGAGAAACATTTTATCATTAGACCTGAATTGGATTGACTTTCAAAAGCGCTCAGGAAAAAAAAAAAAAAAGATACATATATAAAAAAAGGAATGTCTCTTGAGGACTGAGGCCGTGCCCTCTCACCAGCCTAAAAGCTTTAAAGACAATTTCACACTGGCAGATTTTTCAGCTTTTTGTGCTGCATTTTGATACAAATGCCAAAACTACTCAGAAAAAGTCGGGATCTCCTTCAAACGATGGACTATTGCAGCTCGTGAGGACAACTCATTTCAACGCACATACAAAAAAAACCTTGGTTTTCCCAAACACGTTTAAACTCTTTAGGAAGGAAACGTGGCTGTTGCACAGACATGTGTCCCGCTGGATGAATGAATCCTTGTGTGAATGGAAAACCGCTGCAGAGGCGCAGAGACTGTGTGAAGCTGGAGAGGAAACGGAAATGGGCTTGAACAGAATAAGCATGGAGAAAGGTCCGGAGGGCTGACTCTGGTAAACCGGCTGATCTCCTTCATTACTCATGCCTGTGAGTCTTCGCCAGCAGATGTTTTCTTCCCGATTTGTGGTGTTTTCCCTCTGGTGTTTGTGGGGAAAAAGAGAGAGAGAGAGTAAAAAAACAACCCCCCCAAAAAACCTGCATCTTACTGAGATCCAGTGTACACATGTAGATGAAGTGAGTCCAAACTGTTGCCTGCTGCTTCGCATGTTTCACTTGCAACCATGCGTTCTGTCAAGTGTAATTGTGTAAAAATTAGTCAGATCGAGGCGCACACGCATACACACGCTTCCTTCACACTCTCAGGCTCGTTCAGGCTGCGGCGAGGGACTGTGCATGGGAAGTGTGAACAGTAGAAGGCCAGACAAAGTGACATGTGTTCACCCGAGGGGCTGGCACTGTAATTGTGTGTGTTTCTACGTGCCCGCGCGCATATGTTTGTGTGAGAGCGCAGTGTTTAGCGCGTCAGCCCTGCTGTTTACTGTGGGGGATTTTAGAAGAATTGTGGGCAGCTGGCAAGTCCCTTCAGTTTCTCTTTCTCTGTTTTTTTTTTTTTGCCCCTTTCCTAAATCTGCCGGTAGCTGTGTGTAGTCGTTCTCTGCCCTTCAGGCGCTCGCTCCACTTATGTGGTTATGATGTTCCACAGCAATTTAACAAAATAGGCAATTTCCTTCATGAAAAGAAGCAGTAATTTGCATTTTAGAAGTTGGGATACGGGCTTATGACATGTCGCTCTAAAAGCTATAGAAATGAATTACAAGTCAACAAAAAAATAAACAAATTATTATAATTTTTTTTTAAATGAGTGGCTAAATATGGAAAGAGCAGTGAAGGAGTATTAGTTTTTTTTTTTTTTTGATGACTTGCACTCTTGCTGTAAAATCTTTTCTTCACACTCAAAAACAAACAACACAACAAGAGGATCTAAAATAGAAATCCAGCTGTTTCCTGAGCAGCTGGAAGAGGATGCTGGACGATGAGATATTCAGCACCTCAGGGATTCACACTGTTAAAAACTTCAGCTAAAAACAGGGTGAATGTGAAAAGGGGTAAAACAGAGAAATAAAAATGGCCATGGAACTTTTTCTTTTTTGTAGAATTTTATGTCTGCATGATTCACCTGCTAAACCAATGTTTTATCTTCCTTCTTTTGCAGGTTCTGATGCTGGGTTCTGCTTCTGCACCGACTGGCTGACTGTTTTTTCTCCCATTCCTGGCTGCCATTTAGAGATACAGAGACAATAAAAAGCCTTAAGCATAGCTTTTTTTTAAAATTTTCACCTTCACAAGTTAATTTCCACTATATATATAAACATATATATATTTTTAAATCAAAACACCACCGTCAGCTCAGCACCGTTAGCTGCCAGTATGGAGCGCAGCAGCTGGAGTGGCAGTGAGAGTCCTAGTGAGGACATGGACAGACTCAGTGATTCAGGAGGGGACAAGACAATGGACGGGGACCCTGAGGGGGTCTGGAGCCCAGACATTGAGCAGAGCTTCCAGGAGGCCCTTGCTATATATCCGCCCTGTGGGAGGAGGAAGATTATACTGTCAGATGAAGGGAAGATGTACGGTGAGTAGCTTAAGCTGGTCTGAGATGTCAGCACACCTTTTATAATTTCTTACAAAATGTCTCTATTTTACTAAACCTTAGATGCTTTAAATGTTGGAGTTTCAAATCTCTCAGGATGGCAACTTTATGCTTTTATTGTTTGGATATATTGTTTTCTTTATCTCAGTTTATAAGAGTCCTCTGTAATATATTACTACTGAAAAAAAAAATGTCATCCTAGGACAAGAAAAACAGACATCGATTGGCTGACTTGTTAAATTTTCTGGCGTGAGGCGGCGGTGACAATAACGACGTAGAAGGTGGAGATGGAAGATTGTCTCACGGCGCATCAAGTGTCAGAGAAACGGGAATGAAACATAAGCTGTAAAAGCGAGGAAATGGAGGCATGCTGTACTGCTTTGTGTGTGTGTGCGCGCGCCTGTGTGTGCATGTGTGTGTGTGTGTGTGTGCGCGCGCGCCTGTGTGTGCGTGTGTGTGTGTGTGTGCGCGCGCGCCTGTGTGTGTGTGTGTGTGTGTGTGTGTGTGTGTGTGTGTGTGTGTGTGTGTAAGTGTGTGTGAGTACGAGACCGTGACAGAAGTGGGAGAGTATTTGTGTGTTTGAACTAATAGACTGATGAACAGATGGTCCTCTGGCTACCACCAGCTGCGTCCCCCTTCGACTCCCTTTTACTGTTTTTTTTTCTTTTAACTCTCTCTATACGTAGAGCGCAGCCTCAAATCTCTTTATTACTCTTTTTTCCCCCTGTATTTTATGTAGATTTACAATTATTTAATTATTATCTTTATAACTGCAGCTATAAAGAGTTCGGACTCTGTTCATGTGTAGTTACAGTCCATCATTTATGTATTTGAGCTGGATAAAAAATTTCTTCCTTAAAGCATCACTGAATATATTATTTCTAGTGTGATATAAAAAAGCACCAGAATTTTCTAGCTTGACAGTGTCGGCACTGCAATATTTTCATCATGTTGGATGAAAATATTGATGAAACATATAAAGAATTCCTGCTGATCCGCCAACTTTTTTTCTTCTTCCAAAAATTGATCATTTTCTTCAAATTAGAATATTTTTTTTTGGCATAATGTTCTACCACATCCTGAACAACTGGACAGTACAACCACTTAACCGCTACCTAACCATGACATTTCTAACTGAGCACTCATAGCGCTTTGTACCGGAGCCGCATTCACTCAGTCTGACACACTCAAGCCCCTTCAAAGGGAATTGAACCAATTGCAAAATATTACTCCTCTCACTGACCCTCAGTCGTCTCAATGCATGTCATTTATAATTTAGACTGACTAGAATCTGCAGGAACTGTCTCTCACACCATTGCTCTGTTCCTGATCACACAACGTTTGTGTTTTCCCTCTCAATGGAAAGTGGCTAGAAGTAAGCCACTGTTGAAAGAAAGCCACAAGAACAGCCATTTGCATTTCACCACGAAACTCACAGAAGACACGGCAAACATATGGAAGTAGGTTCTCCGGTCAAATGATGCCACAATTCATTTTCTGGCCTACGTGCAAAATGCTTTAACATTGGACATTATCTTGAAGAGACTCTCCCCACAATAAAACATGGCGGCAGCAGAATTGCAACGTTTTTTTTTTTTCAGCTCGCGAAGGGAAACTATTCAGACAGTCCTGGAAACAAATGTGTTAATAGCTACAAAAGTTCACTTTCTCTCCGGTCAGAGACCCTAAACATAAACCCAGAGCTGCATTAGAATCAATTAGTCTAGACTTAAATCCAAACTTAACTTCAATTGAGAGATTGAGGCAAAATTGTCTTGCTGATACATAATATTATCTCCATGCGGCTGAATACAATTGTGTGACACCCATTTTATATATCTGTTAGAAAGAAAAATAAAAAACATATATATAGGTTTTTTATGTTAACAATGTGCACTATTTTGTGTTTATTTATTACATAAAATCCCAATGAAATACACTGTAGCTTTCAGCTGTTATTTGACAAAATGTGAAGAAGTTTGGATTATATGTGATTATATTTGGAAGCCACTCAGTGAACAAGAAAATAATCCTCAAGCATCATTTGTTTTATGTAAACATACAAGTTAATTCAGCATCATGGTACTTTATGGTTATTTCATGTGTGGACAAAAACAGCGTAGCGTACCTTTCATTTCTTTAAGCAGTGCAGGCAGCAACAGACCCGGCTCGGCTCGTCACAGACACTGAAATATAACCCTGTCAGGATTCATCATGGCTGACCTGCTCAGGTCCCACTGATACTGGAACTCCTTCTCCAGCCCCTTTGTGTTATTGATCAGTCATGGATCAATCAGTCCGTCTCTCTTTCCTGCACAGGTGGCATGTTCAACCCTGTTTGTTTACCTTGTTGACTCTGTGTCCAGGTTGTTGACACATCTTAGCCAGGTGACCTAATCAAATCAGACAGCATTTTTTAGAGGCAGGCCAGGAAAAGCATACAGGTAAAAAGGTGTGTGAAGTATTTGAGAGTGATGGGGCTTCAATCGTTACCAAGAAAATTTGTGCAAACTGCAGTCTGCTCACAGGTTCAATTCTGAGTGAATTCTCGTCTTTCTTACTTTTTTTTTTTTTTTTTTTTTGCATTGGTCTTTTACAATGACATATGGCAAAAAGGCACTGCCAGCATTTTTTTTGAAAGAAGCTTGTATTTTTTGGTTAAAACAAGAGTTTATCTTAGATGTTTAGTTGGACTGTCTTCTCTGGCAGGTTGCTTGCAGTCAGATGTTTAACCAATCAGGTTTCTTGTGACTTGCCTACTGTGGTTTCAAAGCAGCTTTACCTTCAAAATGGGTTTGTATGTCAGGAAATATGACGTTTAACAAAAAGGAAAAGAAAAAAAAACACTCCTTTGGCACTGCCTGAGTGACAGAGTATTTGCTATCCATGCTTGAAGTTGTAGAAATAATTACCAACCCTAAAACCAGAAGTCTGTATGGCTGCCTTCAAACTGTTCAGTAAAAATCGTTAAACTGGAGAATATGAATATTAAAATGTTTTCACACTATTTCTAAATAAACTTTAGATGACCAAAACAAATAAATAATAATAACAACTGAAATAAAAAATATCTGGATTATATTCTTGCAAAAGACGAAGGAAAAAATATTTAATTTTTAAAAAATATTCTTTAAAATTAAATCTTAATGTTGAAGGTGTCACTGCTACTTCGCTGCCTTGTTTTTATTTGTATTTAAATGCCAAGTTTTGCATTTTAAAACGTCGACGTCTTCAGAAAAGCCACAGTAAACACTGCTGATGTCACCTCGCCACCTGTTACACCGTGCCGGTTACATTACCTGGCAACAAATCACTCACAGGGATTTGTGAGTCTTTGTAGGAACTGTCAGATTGTTGGTAATAAATCAAAGATTAACTTCTAACCACAGCTGTTATGATTTTTGCAAACGCGTATGAAAAAAAAAAGAGGCTCAAACAAATGAGGTGAGATTGAAATGCTTAGTGCCTTCAACACTTTAAATGTTTCTGCTGATGTTGCAACAAGCACCAGCTCGGTGCAACTCGGTGGTATATTCAGGCTGTAAGCCAAAGTCTGGGCCCTGTGGCCCTCAGGGTCACCTCAGGGTACTCGGTACACTCAACTGCTGCCTTGTTGGCAAGTATACTGCGCCAGGAATTGACCTTATTCTGAAAGGGGTTTTCAAGCTATTCCATAAAGCAGCCGAAGCTCTTAATCACTCTGCAAACTGAGCGAGGAGATCAACAGTACACTACTACGGCTTTGCTTTAAAGACAGGAAGAGGGAAGATCCATTTCTAACTACATGAAACACAGGAAGCCGGGGATTTTCCTGAATTAATTACCCTTTCTCTCAGATTTCTGCTTGTTCTGAATGCAAATTAGCTGAACTTTTTCCAAAGTTTCTGCTGTTTTAGAGACTCTCATGCAGAACTTTAGCTGCAGGGCCGCTGCAAAGGTTTTGAGTTCATGTTTAAAAAAGGGGATGAAGATTGTGGAGTTTCATCCTTTTGTTTCACACTCAGGTTCCAACATCTCAAACAAAATGAGTCACAATCGCATGAAAACATTACTACAACTGCTTTTTCCCCCCCTATTTTTTGAGTGTGCGGCCTGCATGAATGTCAGCTTTCACGCCGAGTGGCCTCGGCCCAGAGGCAGAGGGGAGGGAGAGCAGGAGGTTGCTTCTGTTCGTCACGGTTAATGACCATCTGACTTTGGCCTTGAAGTCTTTCACTGTAGAGAGGGAGGAAGCGAGAGGCAGCAGAAGGGAAGCCCATTCACTACAAGGGGGAGCAGAGAAGTAGGGGGGAAAGGGAACAGCCACAAGAGAGAACGGACGGATGGATGGAAGAAAAGAGCGAGGGAGGGAGGGAGAAAAGAAGGGAGGGAAGTTTGTGCATGTGTGTGCTTGTGAGCTGGAGAGTTTTTCGAGAAAGAGGGAGGGCAAGAGTGAGGGATGTGTGCCGCAGGGTTAGTGAAGGATGATAATTCACCGTTAAGCCTCCTAGAAAGACCAGCTGGCCCCTCTGGAGTCAGATGTCAGCCTCCACAGCCAGGACTCTGTGTGGGTGCATGTGTGTGTGTGCTAGCACTCATGAATGTATATACATTGATGTTTGCGTGCATGCTGTCGTCAGTCACAGCTTTCGACTGCTAGAAGGAAAACACCTGCATGGGGAGCTGTAGATTTTATCAGTCTAAGCTCCCTATCTCAGTGACAGTAGAACTGGTCAGAAAACACACATACACACACGCACCCCCACACACACGCAGACACGCATGCATGCAAATGCACAAACACCATCTGCTTGCTAGTTAGGGCTATTGTTGTGAGCCATTTGGGTAGTGTGTAGAGGTTTGGCTTTGTGCAGATCTTGACCATCAGTTGGCCAGCTGGCCTGACTTTGCTTTTCCACTCGGTTGCAACAGAAAACAGGCCAAGAGAGGACCCAAATCAAACCAAACGGCTCCAAATCAGCTCGTTAGCACTCGCAGCATCTGCAAATCTGTCTCATTTCATAAATAAACTGCGACTTCAATTTTTAATCACTCTAAAGTTGTTGTGGGTCTGACTGCAGAGGCCCCTGTGAAAATTTTCTACCATGTTTCAGTGCACAAACACGCCTCTGTCTCTGGTTTCTTCTGGATTTGAAGCACTTTTTTTTTTTTTTCCTTTCTGTGCCCCCTTTTTCCTCACTAATCTATACTAGCCAGGTCATGCTGAGTTTGCTGTGCTCCCTTGTGAATGGGCTGAATTATTCAGTATTGTAAGTATGTGTGTATCTGCATCTGTGCGTGCACATATGTGCGCACACGTAAGCACAAGTACAGCCGGCCTGCTGGTTCCTTTAATCAGGGGACGGCCGGTCCGCATGAATGCCTGCACTGTTGGGTCATGTGTATTCAGGGCCATTGCGTGTGTGATTTGTGTGCGTGCGTGTGTGTGTGTTTGGTGAGTGTGTGGAGAACTCAACAGGGGTATCGGTGATTACAGCTTTTCCATGTGAAAGTGCACGTCACAGGATCAGTGGGTCAACAGCTCTTAATCAGCCACTAAGTTGTTTTTCAGGGTCATATGATTTCTGCTGGTTGTTTTTGAGAATAAGCAATGGATCAAATGTGTATATGTGAAGGTAAAAAAAAAGAAAAAAAAAAAGTGTTTTAGTAGTGCGTTTTCTGTCTCCTTCCTCCTCCAGGGCGAAACGAGCTGATAGCCAGATACATCAAACTCCGAACAGGCAAGACGCGGACAAGGAAACAGGTAACTATGGGAGTGTGTGTCCAGTCAAATCATTCTGTCTGCAGAGAGAGTGACAGGATATTGTAGAGTACGTGCACCATGTGATAATGATGCCAAACCAATTGAAACAAGGGCATAAAAAGCAGAATGGTCAAGGAAAGAGGAAAAATTGCAGAAAATTTAAAGCATCATTTTATATTTCTACAGTCTGACATGACCATGGCATGTCAGAATGTAGAAAATATATGAAAACACTTCCTAGATAAATAACTTTAATGGATACTTTATTGTGACCTCTTGTGAACTTAGATGTTGGTTTAATTCATGAAATTAATTTTCTGAGAACCCATAATTTCATAATTTAGCAGCTGCTGTCTTATAATTTTTTCAAATTTATGTTTTTTTTTTTTTTTTTTTTTTTTTTACCAAAGTATTAGTTTCATGTAGATCACAAGGTTGAATCTGGGCAGTGATAGTTGATTAAATCCACCAATCAACATGTTGATCAGGAGAGGATTTCACAAACAAATCAGGGCTAAAAACAATTCTTACTTTGTATGCTTAGATTTAAAATAAATGTTTCCAACCATATGATTTGTTTTGCATGTTATAACAAGATAAAATAATAAAATGATTTGTGTTCAATGAAAAAGAAAATGCACATCTCCAATGACTTTTCATTAAAAATGATGTCATATTAGCTACACCCTTGCCTGAGCTATCTGCGTTCAAGACAGAATAAACATGTTGCTAAGATTAAAAGATTACTTTACTTTGATAGCATGTAGGCTTATAAAGAATGACAAATGAGGAATTGTGCCCCATTCAATCTTCTCACCGATGCTGTTCAGCACAGCCTCCATAAGAAGAGTCTCTGCTCCAGAGCCTCTTTGTTTCTAAAAATGTGCCCGACTCAACACAAGTTATCAATTAACTTGTGTCTTCCTCTTTGCTTAGACACATTTTGCTTAACTGCTTGGCTAAAGTTAGCATGTTTCCTCTGTTTCACTTTCACTGTGAACGTTGTTGTTGGAAGAAATGCAAACATGGTTGCTGTTGTTTTTAACCCCAAATTCCTCCTATTAGAATGTCATCATGTAAAACCTCAGCAGCATATTATTTTTAATGTAGAACGTAGTTTGTTTGTTCATGCTCTACAGATAAATGAAGTTCACAGGTTTTGTGCTACTGAAGAAACAAGGCTAAAAATCAACAAAACATATTTTTTGTTAGTTATTCCTATACATCGGCCCCACTGCTTTTCACACAGAGCCCAGTTTGTTGGCAGATTTTTGGGCAGGACCTAACATGGCAGTACAGTCTAGATCTTGGCCCCTGTTCTCAGGTGTCTTTCTGTCCTCTCAAAAGATGTGCATAGATGGGTCTATTCACTCTTCTCAGGGGAGTGCATTGTGTGAAGTGTGTGTCTGTGTGTATACTTCTAGTATAGCAACAGTCCTTTCATAACCATGGCAACTCTCTGTTTGGTCTTTACTCCTCTTTTCCAACCCTCTACCCTCCCTTCCTCCTCTCCTCTCCTCTCATCTCCTCTCCTTCTCTCCTTGCCAGGTATCCAGTCACATCCAGGTCTTGGCCAGAAGAAAATCCAGGGAATTTCAGTCCAAACTAAAGGTATGAGGAGGCTGATGGAAATTTGAACCATTAACTTTGTTGACTGATCATTTATTACACGGTGAGTGTTGTTTTACCAGTCCTGCTTGTTTGGAAGAAAAACAGCTGATATGTAAAGATCAGTCCTGATGGTTGCATTGGAAGAACAGGATGGAAAGCCACCAAACCCACATAGCTTTCTTTTCCCTTCATAAGCAAGAACAATCTAAATTCAGTGTTTGTCCCTTACTGTGACTGGAAGGATGCCTGTCACAGTGACTCCAGTATCCTAGGTGTCTAATTACCCCCTGTTTGGGTTTTCTCCTCCTCCTCTTCCTGCCATTCTTCTCTTTCCTCACATTCATTCAGTTCTTCCTATTTTCTCTCCTCCCCTCTTCTTACCATCTCCACCTCTCAGTCTATTAATCTCTTACCCTGCTTGTCTTGTCTGTCTTTCCTTCTTGTCTTTGACTGTAATTAACTTTATTTAAAGCAACAAAGAAGAGCTTGTTTTCCGAGAAGTCTGGCCGGAAATTCTGAGCTGATGTTTGCTGTCATAAAATGAATGATGGTAGGCTTATTAAAAGCAGGAGTAAATGTTTCTTGACTTGACATTGGATTTTAAAAGTCTACACACTCACTCTACGCTCTAAAGCATTAGGTTCTGTAGTACAGCAAAGACCACCATCAATAAGCTCAGAAAGGGAGAATTATGCAACAATTGTGAAAAAAGAAAACATAAAGTGGTCGGGGAGGCAGCCAGTAGCTGTAGGGATTTGTGGTAGTTGCTTTATGTGACTTACAACAATCCATTATGTTCTCTGTACAGAAAACTGGCTTGTGAGGTTGAAGCTTTTAAAAAACAAAAAACAAACAAAAAAAAAAAAAACAAGACAAAACAATAACAAAAAAACCAAACATGCAGGCCAGACTGAAATCTTTAATGATTTTGTGGGAAAATGTTTTATGATCAAATTAAACCAAATAAACATTTGGGTCCAATTTGTACCTAATTTTAAAAGATGAGTTTGGAATGAAAAAAATGACCTGTAAAATTGCCAACCGTACACTACTATGCCCTCAGTGAAACATGGTAGTGGCAGCATCATGCCATAGGGTTACATTTTGCTTATGAAACTGTTTTTTGTTTTTTTTTTAGATGGATGAAGTTATGGCCCAGAACTATAAAAAAAGAACAAAAAAACACACATGCCAATTTAAAAGCTGATTTGTTTACCTTATTCCTTTTGCAAAAAACTGATTATTGTATCCATAGTGGAATCAGTTGTTATCTTTGTACACTAAAACTTGAAATAAAAAAAAAATATTTATTTTCACTTTTATATAAATTTGATCATCTTCTCTGTGACAAATTATTTGAGGGAAGTTTGGAATATTCACTGGTAAAGTTATTGAAAACCCATGTAAAATTGTTCATTATTGAGCTTCCTCGTCTCCAACAAAACAGGTAAAAACAAGTCCAACTTCAATTCAATTCATATTCCACTCATAAAAGAATTCATGAAGATTAAATAAATTGATAAAATATAGCAATTCATTTTTTTTTTCAGCTAAGGAAACGTATCTGTTGTGTTTGTCAAATTACTGTTTTATTTCCTTAAAATAATCTGCTTTTATCATCAAATGAGTGATGATTAGAAAACTCAGTCCTTACCACTTAACTGTAAGTTCTTTAAACTTTAATACTAAATGGGTTTTTTTTGTTTTTAACTATTTGGAACAAAAATAATAATTAAAAAATCAGCATCTGGATCTTGGTATTTAACATAAAAATCCAGCATGATTCCAATCTCAGTACCTTCTGTAATATTATTATCTCTCCCAGGAGAGAAGATTCCTCTCTGTGCCAATTAACTTGAGTGAAGCTGTCAATTAGTGATTCTCCAGCTATCACAGTGCCTCTAATTCTGTTTCATTCACCTGTTTTGTGTTCCTTAGCTAAAAACCTTGCCTTTAAGCTAAGGTTAAATATCCAAAATCCTTTTTGTTACTGTTTTGCTCCAACAGCTACTTTAAGGTGTCACATTAAGTGTCACTGCACAATTTATGTTCTTAATTTTTTGCTGAATATTTGTTTTCCCTCCCCACCCGTCGTCTTCTTGTGACACACTATGCAGCCATTCAGTCCAGAGCGCGACGCACGCCCACAATAATGTTTGTGTCAATGTCTGCGTTCGCGTGCAGGACCAGAATGCCAAGGAGAAAGCTCTGCAAAGCATCTCGTCCATGTCCTCGGCTCAGATCGTCTCAGCCACCGCCATACACAGCAAGCTGCTGCCTGGAATAGTGCGAGCCAGCTTCCCCGGCAACGCTCAGGTACAACACGCACACGCTTGCACAGGGACACGCTTGCATTTGTCCTCAACAAATAAATGCGGGGATAACAATGGAGCAGTTTATCTGAATAATCTATTAGCCACACATGCATAGATACAGGTGCTGGTACACAGAGGAACAAGCACATTGCTTTGCATTTGTAGTTTGCATTCACTGTGTGGTGTATTAATACGTGCATTTATTTTCAGCTGTGGCAAGGGATGATTCCAGGAGGGCAGTCCAGCTCCACCACAGAAGAGTGAGTCACATTTCTAATGCCTTCTTATCTGACTCGTTGCTGTAAATTCAGCTGCCCATTCGTCCTACCAGTGAAGCCTCATGTTTTCAGGTTCTTAAATTTCACTTGTTGCAAATTAATTGAAGAAAAATAAAATAAAATAAAATGAACATTTTGTTATCAAATTGTATATCTATTTTATTCCATCATGTAGTTTTATTTATTTATTTATTTTCTACAAAATCAGCTTGGCAGAATGTAACAAAGGCAAATAGAAACGAGGCACGTTCCCGAATGTTTTAGTTAAGTGGAAGGGACTAAAATCTGAACAAGAACTGTTCGCCTTCATTTTGTAAGACAGTGAAAGTGTCAGTGAATGCAACAGGTTTATCCACTGCATGTTGACCGAATTTTCCATAGACAAGAAATAAACAAACAACAACAAAAAAACAACAACTAAAAAACCAAGAGGTTTACTGTGACCTTTATGTATTTCAAGGTTAACTATACTTCAGGTTTGTAGGTAATTTTTCATTGTTGCATTGAGTTGTGCCATCGTACTCAAATGTGCTTAACCTTTAAAGAGATATTAACATTACTGTTTGGTGATGTCACTTTTTCAAAATCTAAACACCCAAATGTCAGCAGACTATATGTTCTCCCTCCAAGCTTCATATGTGTGGGAGATTTAAATTTTAACATTTTTATTCAATGAAGATGTTTTGGGGGTGTTTTCTGATTGGATGTCTGACAGGCATTTCTAAAAGTTCTAACCAAACAATGTATGTCAAGTTTGAAAAAAAAGAGAGATAATTTAGATTTTTTTCTCATAAACCGCTTTTTATTAGAGCCATTAAAGCCTAGTTTTAATCGCTGGCCAACTTTTTCATTTCGTACTGTAAGGATTCATCTTTGGTGATGAGCTCCACGTCTGCCTGGCTGGACTCTGAAATATTGATAGCATTTTCAGACAGAAAAGAAAAAATGGTGGCAGAATTTAAAAAGTTTCTTTAAATATAAAATCAACCAGAGGTAGAAATTATTTGGCCTTAGCTCCTCATCACTGACAACATATTTCAGCTTCTTTCTCTAATTTACTTTTTCTATTTCATCAATACAAAATAGCACTGTGAATTCTCTGAAGGCACAAATGTGATTTTGCTCTATGAAGATATGGAGAAGAGTGCCTCTTTTCTGCAGATGAAAAACATCAAAGACTTCAATTTAATTTATTATGCATCTGAATCTATAATCAGACTGTATCTGCATGATTGTCGCAGCTTATGTTCAGAAACAATTAACTTGATTAATTCACACGACTGATGCGTCGAATCTGTCTGCCTTCATATTGGCAAACACTGATTACCTAGTCAATGCCAACTTGAAGACCACCTGTTGAGTTTAAAATTAGGTGCAAATTTTAAACCCTGCCTCCTGCTGTTTCCTTCTCTTGCTTTAATGTCTGTTAATATAACTCATAGTATTTCCCTGCTTGTTGTACTATTGGATCTGATGATAATAGCAGCAATTGGGGCTGTACAGCCTTCATTGAACACAGAGCTGCTCTTGACCTCTTCACTCCTGCTTTGGTACATGCAAGACAGAGAACAGAAAACTTTTTTGTATCATGCAAGTACAAAAAGGCTGGTCCCACTGTGTCTCTTTTTCTTCCAGTCCTTTTTGTGTGTGTGCGTGTGTGTGTGTGTGTGTGTGTGTGTGTAATGTGTTCTTGTGTGTTTCTCTGAATCTCTCAGCATCAAGCCGTTCTCCCAGCAGGCCTACCCTGTGCAGACAGCAGGGACCACCACAATCGCAGGTGAGAGGGACCATGGGACAATTATCTTCTTTCTGTAAAGCAGACCGTCAGCTCTCTCTCCTGCCATTTATGATGTTTCCTCACCACAGGGTGGTCTTTGACTGCCAAGGCACATGGGTCCCTTGAACTACTGTCTTTGTCTCGCAAAGGAGGTCCAAAAAGAGGGAAAACGGTGTCAAACTGACTTTTCTCATAATTTATGAGCTCTACGCTCACTCATAGAAAATGTATTTAAAAGCAACACATTTGTTTTAAATTTATTTAAACATAATCTTGCCACCTAAACCAGAATTTCCAGATTCAAACATTTATTTGGACTATTACACATTTTTAAATGATTCATAAATCCTAACGTGCCGGTATTTTTAAATTAATTTCTCGTTTGTTTTCATGAACTGTTGACAAGAGAACACTCACATGAATTTATTTTAATAATTAAGTACTGTTTTTGATGTTTAAAACTTGTATTAGAAAGATTTCATTCACCATTATACATAAACCCAAATGTTTTCATGACATTAAATGCTAAGTGTGATTTGACAACTTCGGCAGTTCAGCCACTACATACAAACATTTAGACAGTCTCTTTTCTTTTTTGTAGTTAAGATCTACATATTAATAACATTAAAAGATCTTATCAACAACTCATGTAAATGAGAACATATTTTAAGAGAAGCAGCTTTCAAAGTTCCTATCTTAAATACAAGTCAATCATCGTGAGCTTCAGTTTCTATCTGGTGTGGAAAATAAAAAGCACAAAACTTCAATTGTGCGCTTTCTCATTAAATGCCTCCATCCAGTAAAAAAAAACAGTAGCTAAGCACAGCAGCGGAAAAAACAAAAAATTACTTTGAGAAATATTTTGTGACGGTGCGCCATGATAGTGTTGATTTGGGTTTGTAACTGTGTTTTTCGGTGTGTTTTGGTCAGCCTACGAGCCTGCTGCAGCAGCTCAAACACACAGAGAGCCAGCATGGCAGGGGCGATCCATCGGCACCACCAAACTACGACTGCTGGAGTTTTCATCTTTCTTAGAGACACAGAGGGATCAGGAAGCCGTGAGTGCACACACACACACACAAGCGCACACGCATGCACGCACACACACACAGACAGAGACAGCAGTCTACAATAAGCACTCCCTATTGTCCTATAAACAGAGATGACAGATAACCCTACAGCAGAGAACAGCATTAAAGCCCTTTGTGTGTCTCCTTGTATGAATAACCTTTGTAAAGCTCTATCTCTCCGTCTGCTCAGCCTATCTGTCATCTTGCCACATCGGGGACTCATTGTCATTTTTCTACCTTGGGCTCACGGACAGCTGGCATTCATCTTGTTGCTTTCTGTTTGGACAGTACATAAAAATGTTCTACAATGGCTTTGAAATGGATTCTATTGTGCAGCGGCGTCACCTTCCCTGCATGATTTATTCTACTGTAAATAGATGGAGCTAGAAGCGTCCTTAAAGGCAGACCACATCACAATGGAACTAAAATCCATGACTAACCTCTATTAGTTTGGCAAACATCTCGGATTTTCATTCAGAATTTAAACTCAAATCCGCTTGTCACGTCTTCAAATTTTACAAAACAGATCATTCTTGATCAGAATCAGAATGATCATTCTAATACAAAAACACAGCAGAGTACAATCATCAGAATACAGTTTTTTTTTTTTTTTTAACAGTATGCCTTTCATAAGAATGATAGGTGGCACTCCTTTTATTTTGCACATCATGGCTGTTGGTATTTTTTGCCACTGAAAATATTGCCAAACCAAATTTTCCTCTCTTTCTTAAAATAGAGGGAAATATAGATTAGTTTTCTTCTCAGTCAGCTGACTGACAGTGTGCAGCAACGTGCAGGGAAGGGGCAATTTATATATAATCCAAGGAACTTTTAATGGTCGATTTTTTTTTTCTGAAATTTCATGGGAAACAAATAAAAGAGTGAGAATAGTGAGATTTTGCTAACATTTGATTAGTCGGGAAACATTTGGAAAAAGGCTTGGAAGTGAAGCTTTAAATTTGGTTTGAGCAACTTCTATGCTGATGTGGCAAAAAAAAAATTGACTTGTCACTTGAGGTTGGATCAATTATATCAAGTTTTTTTCTAACAGGTCACCATCACCAGACTTTTTAATCTTTATCATCGAACATATGTGTAAAATTCACAACCTTGAAACATATTCATTGCTAAAATGTTAACATTCATACTGATGCGACTCACACCGATGTTACAGAGAAAGTTTAGAGAAAAAATGGATGTGAGGATGTTAAATTTACTTTTCCAACTCTTGATTTATCTATATCCTTTTTGCAGTACAACAAGCACCTGTTTGTGCACATCAGCCAGAGCAACCCGAGCTACAGCGACCCGCTGCTGGAGTGTGTGGACATCAGGCAAATCTACGACAAGTTCCCCGAGAAGAAGGGAGGTCTTAAGGAGCTTTTCAGCAAGGGCCCACAGAACGCATTCTACCTGATCAAGTTCTGGGTAAAGACATTCACTAACTTGCTTTTATGATCTGATTTTTCAAAATAAAATATTAATGTACTAAAAGTATTTTTTAAAAATTGCCCAAATGCAAATTACCTTTGTGAGTCCTCCGTACTTTTCCATGCATGTTTGTCTTTCTCTGCACTTCCAGGTGTGCGTGTGTGTGGTGGGGGGGGGGGGGGGGGTGGGTGTGTGTGTATGTGGGTGTGGGTGTGTATGTGTGTGTACTTGTGTGTGCTGTGTCTTTCCACCTGGGATACAGAGGTGGTGGGTTGATGAAAGCTCAGTCGCTTTGTTTGAACACCTGCTCACCTCCTGACTCAGAGGTTGCTCTGCCTCTACCCTACTGTGTGTGTGAGCGTGTGTGTTTAAAGTATGTTTCTCACTTCGCTGTTCTTTCTCCAGACGCTTCAGGCAAATTTATAAAACTTTCAAGAATTTTGCCCTCAAAATAACTCATCTATAACAGCTGTGACACGGCGGGTTGCCTTCTGCAAACCAGGTTTAACAAGTGAAAGAACTGACAGGCTTTATATTTCAGTTACGCCACCAGAAAAACTTATTGCCCCACATTAGCGTATACATAGCATTTCTTAACTTTGTAATAGTGATGGGGAGAACAGGTAGACGTTCAACGATGGGTAGAATATATTACTGCTCTTACTGTACAGAATATATTAGTGAAACAAATGAACTTCCAGAACCGTTTAGACAAGATAATGTCATTGTGTTTGATGCATAAAAAGTTATGCCTAGTTAAGAAAAGACTGAGCTACGTTTATTTCAGTTTATGTATTTAGTGCCAGTTTACAGCAAATGTCATCTAAAGGCACGTCACAAAAGTTAATCATAAAAAATCATGTAATCAATGAATCCAACAACATCTGAACATTTAGATAGTGAAATTCAGCTACATAGATTCCAGTTAGATAATGATTGCATCACAGTAATAATACATTCAGCCTATTTTCCCAATTAACAAAAATGTATCTAAGAAGGTCCAGTGGATTGCCAAGTCATTGACTTTGCTGCATTTATTGCTCCTGAGCAAGTATCTGGAGACAGTGGACAGGTGGCTGCATTAAGTTGTTGACTTAGCAAACAGTCTTCCTGAGCGAGCATGTATCTCAGCAAAACTGCTGTAATTTGATGGAATATTAACTTGCGTCTTCAGAACTTGATAAGCAAATGAGGTCATTTATCTCTATTGACATGATATATTGGAACATGCAGGACAGAGAACATTGAGGACCAGGGTCAGTGGCTTCATACTCACAAGTTATCATTCCAAGTTGGGTAAAATGGATGTGAATATGTACAATTTTATGGATAAGTGCAGCCACAAAGCTGAGGAAGGTTATGGTGATAGTTATATTAAACTATGCTGAACTTACACCAAGGGGCACAAAGTGTGCAAAGAAAATATCCTCATCTCTATCTCCAGCCCGAACCATTAATAAAAGGTAGATGGATCAATGTTGACATGGAAGCAAATGATTGTCGAGCTCATTAATGGCATTGTGATATCCAATGAGTGCAGTAAACAGATTAAGGTGTTAGATAGACTAAGCAGCCACCATGAGGTTGTCCCCTAGTGCTGCTTGCCACCAGAACACCAACTATAAGGAGTTCAGCTAATGAAACCATACTAGCTCATGGGAAAACATCTATTGATTCAGCATTTCATGAAAGAGAATGGGAGTCCATTGCAGCTAGCCCCTAGGGACCATCAGAGGTATTGCACTTTAAGTCACTGGACGACAACATAAATCTTTCACATACATTAGGATGGATTTACTGTATTCCACTTGTAATGTTATTTGTAGGGGCATCGATTTAACCATATGATGAATTTAGTGCTTTTGTTGTGTGATGTGAATAGCAGTGTCATTTTTTAGAAATGACATTAAATTGTTCTAGATCCTAACGAGTCGAATCGGGGTAGCGTGGGCTTTGTATTACTCTTAATTCACAAAATCAAACTTTAGACTTTATATTGGCTCGTGCTTCAAAGTCTCAATTCAACTCCAACACATTGTCTGAGACTGAAGTCTCAGGAACGATGTTTGTGTCATGTAATCGGGGGTGAGCTGGTGAGTGTAGGTCATTTGAATAAATCATTAGTTTTTGTCTGTTTTGCGTTACCACGGAGGTGCCCAAGTCCAGTTCTCCAGAGTTTCCATCATGCGTCCCTTCCTCAACACACCTGAGTCAAATGCCTGAATGTCTTCATCAGCACATCATTCAGCTCTACAGGCCTGGTAATGAGCCATTCATCTGATTCAGGTGTGTTTGTTGTTGTGTGTACAACTGAATAGCAGCGAGTCTGAGCCACAGTCTCCAGCTATGGCAGAAATTAGCTCCGCCTGTTGAAACGCATTTAATTTTTTACATTAAATAAAACCATTAAATTTTTTCGATGGTTTGTGAAAAAAACAAAAAACTAAAACCATTTATTTTGGCTTCATAATAATGGCCACACAGACAACTCTTAACCCGAACCGTTTGAACGAGTCGTTTCCTAACAAAAACTTTCCTTTAACTTTTCCCTTTCACACGTTCACTCTGACAGTGGTGAGCTACATTGTAGCCACAGCTGTCCAACCAGATTAGTTTTTTGACATTATGTTCTGTGTTTTGTTTTTTATTACAAAAAAATGTATCCCACTTCGGAACATTAAAATTCTACTAAAAAGATCACAATATGGCTGTTTAGATGTACAAGAAAACTGAAAAACATCACCATTCTGAATGTGGAAATTAGCCTGCTAACGTTCCCTACGTTGCCCTAAATCAATTAATTTTCCAAAAACTTCCTAAAGATAAATCAGAAAAGAAAGTCTAAAACTGCTCCTGTCCAGTTTGTGGCTGTAGATATAAAGAAAACATCCACCTGTTCCTATGGTAATCTATAGCGCTTGCTCTCCATGTTAAACAATTTCCACACGCCAATGAAATACCGCAGCAACATCATCAGTTCAAACCTCAGCAGACATCTGAGTTGCATGGAAAGCAAAACATTTAGAAAATTGACTTATCAACCGGGAGGACAATATTTAGAAATTATGACAGCCCTGTTTGCTTTTGGAAAATGTCATTTTGCTTTGACTTACAAAGGCAATAAATACCTTTCAATTAATTTATTTCAATATTCTCAGTTTTATTGCTTAGTTTTTTGGCAAAAAACTCAGCAACAGGCACAAAAACCGATTACCACTTCACTTATCGGAGACAAATTCAAAGCAAATAGCCTCCATCTTCCTCGCTGATGCTTGAAAACTTTGACAGGAGAATCCCCGCTGTGCACGGATGACAAAGCTGTTGGTCAGCAGAATTCATAGATAGGAGGGCAGAAACCTGCAGAGTAGTGAAGTGGGCTCGGAGCACAATGAGAGCAGAACTGATGAGATATACTCAAACAAAGAGCGAGTTTGTGCATTATGTCGAGAGCCTCCTCTCTGAATTTAATTAAAAAGCTCTCAGATCTACCACAATGGAACATGTTTCTGATAATCTGCTGCTTTAACAGAGCTCAGTTTGATCTTGGTGTGTGTGTGTGCATGTGCGTGGATGACTGCTGTACATGTTGGTGGTGCAGCATATGGTGTTTGTGCATTTGTGTGTGTTTGCTCACAGCTCGGAGACACTCAGTGCTCCTTAGAGAACTCATTACAAAAAGGGAGAAACCCTTCCCACGTCTCCTGACCTGTAATCCAGGTACAGCATGTTCTCGCTGCTCTGATTAAACATTTTTCTTCTTTAGTGACAGAACTATGAATACAGATATTGTGTTGATGCCAGCAACCACACCAGCACTTACATGACAGAACAAACAAATTAACTACGTTTCCGCGGGGTTTTAAAAAGTGTTGAGCTTCATCGTCTCAGTTGAAATATTTCCTCTTAAAGTTATAGTGCTTTAGTTTCTGTAAGGAACCTTTTGTTTTCCCTCTTGGAAGGTGTTGCTAAACATTTCAACATTTCTCAAAACCTGTAAAAAAAATAAATAAAAATAATTTAAAAAATTAACTCTTGAAACCTGAGCTATAAAATTTAAATTTTCTCCTCATTTCCATGACATAAAAAATGACTATATCGATTCATCCAAGTGTAACTTCTGTCAAATTTTATTAGTTATATGAATGACAGGACACAACACTGAATTACACCAGGGGGCACTGTTTTCTTACTCCTAGAAATGCAGCAGTGCTGATGTTGCATTTTTTCATCTTCTAGGAGTTTTTAGATGAACATCCTAATGTTTCACCTATTTTTTGGTGTGTGTGATGTCTTCAGGCGGATCTCAATTACAGCGTTCCGGAAGACTCCGTGGCTTTCTACGGTGTGACCAGCCAGTACGAGAGTTCAGAGAGCATATCCATCAGCTGCTCCACAAAGGTCTGCTCCTTCGGCAAGCAGGTGGTCGAGAAAGTGGAAGTGAGTAGGACTGCAACTTTTCTTTACATGCTGTTAATGTTTTCTTTTTTTTTTTTATTTATCAAACTTGATTAAAAATATAGAAAATAATTTAATTTAGGCAAGTTAGTTTATTGTACTATAGAGTTATTATTTGTAATTCTCCTTGTTCAAAGCATATTTTTTCTATTTTTACTGATAAGTGAACAAAACGGTCAAAGTGTTTTGGGATTTATACCAATTGTTTCATTTTAGCAGAGTGATAAGCTGTTGTATAATAAAAAAACAATAACATATTATTCACCCAGGTGATTTTGTTTTCAGATAAACTAAGAAACATTTCCTATATTTGCTGATGTAAGGTTTTTCCTATAATACGCACTCAGTCACGCATACCATCACCTGTGCTTTCATCCAGTTTTTATGTGAAAAATATCTAAACACAGCCTAGCACCTTCGATGAAAATGCTTTCTTTAATTAGCCAAACTCTATCGTTCACAATTGGAACTTTAGAAATGCAGCCGTTCAGATGATTTTCCCCAGATGATTTGGGACTGATGTGCACCATTCAAAAGAACATAGACGGAAGTGACAGGTGAAATTAACAAAGAGAAATCACCCTAACCCTGTCCCCTCCCCGCTGTCTGACAGACGGAGTATGCCACGTTTGAAAATGGACGGTTCGTCTACAGAATCAGTCGCTCTCCCATGTGTGAATACATGATCAACTTCATCCACAAGCTGAAGCACCTGCCAGAGAAATACATGATGAACAGCGTGCTAGAGAACTTCACAATTCTGCTGGTGAGAAGAACAATGGTTAAACATCTTTCTGTTTTAAAATAAAACCATTGGTTTCAGTTGTTTTATATACTTTAAATGTGGAATTTTTTATGTAATAATTTTTGGCATATGTCAGTGAGTGAATATCTAGCTTGCCCAATCACACTGTTCCCGTCAGAAGCCGGCGCACACTCGTCATTGGAATGAATTTCATATTAATTCCTTCCCGATGTAACATCTGCCATCAATTTATGGCAAATTTTTCTACTTTAAAATGAGCAAAACTGTATTTTAAGGCATTTTTAATCTGTTTTGACGTCCAGGTGGTGAGCAACAGAGAAACCCGGGAGACCTTGCTGTGCATGGCGTGTGTGTTTGAGGTGTCGAACAACGACCACGGAGCGCAGCACCATATCTATCGACTAGTCAAGGAATAACACCCTCCACCTCGTTAACACATGCACATCTATGGCCTTCGCTTGGTGATTATTCTCGGTGACACTCAAGGGAGAAATATAGATCCCTTAAAAAAAAAACTACCAAAATTTCAGTTCACCAAAAAAAGAGAGAAAAAAGTAATCAGTCAAGGATAAAAATGGCTACATTTTCACTGCCACTTTATAAACCACCAACGAAGGCAGTGACAGTGTAGCCATGACACCCTGTGAGAATCAACACGGTTGGTTTTTCCCAAGAACTCCCTGGGATGAGGAGCAGCCGTCATCTCTCCCACTAATTAAGTTTTCTGAGTACATCAGAACTTTACAGCTGTGAACATGAGAATATGAGTGGGATTCGTGTTAAGAGCCTTTGGGAAAAGCTAGAGAAAGAAAAAAAAAAAACAATTTTCGCCCCCTGGTGGAGAAAAATCCCTCCTCAGCCAAGACGTACCGAAGGTCAGACCCTGTGTATCATCAATAGCCTGTTGGAGAAAAGGACATATCTGCATTATGGTATAGTAGACTAGAGATCTGGATGTGTACAGATAGACTCTGTGGGTTGTTCCAGTGGAGCTCTTGCACAAATGAAGAGGTTTGTCCCAAAGAAAAAGAATGAAGTTTTTACCTTTTTGTATGTTTTCCTTAAAACACACACACACAAAATATTTTCAACTTTGGGATTTTGTTTATTGATTGTAGCATATAGATTATACTTCAATTCCCTGATTGTTATCTAAAATTTATAAAAGCATAACGGGGAGAAAACAAGAAGAAATTCAGGTACCTTTTTGTGCAGCAGGTGACTCTTTCTTCATCAAGCCCTTTAGATTTTAATCCAGGTCTAACTGAATCCAGCACAGAAAGTCCGAGACAAAGGATTATAAACGTGATCTAACTCACCAAGATCATAGTTTTAAACATATTGTTCAGATTTCTTGGAGAATCACTGTGATTGTTTTTTTGTCTTTTTACTACATACTTTGTCCAGCTGTTAGATAGGCTTTAGTTTAACTCTCATTTTAACATATGCTCCTTATTTTAGTATTTGTACCAGCAAAGTGGAGCCTTAATGTCCATACCGCCAAAACCTGAGATACTTCTCCACCCACATTACCAGTGAACTGACCGCCCTGACTCGAAGCCTTAGAACCTCCTACATCAGGATTATAGATCACACCCTTTCCTTCTTTTATGAATCCGAAACCAAAAAACGCTGATGATGGTGATGATGATGATGATGGAGTATACTGTAGCAGGTGTGGTCCGACGGCTCGTCTGCGTCATGCTCAGCAGCGTGAAGTGCCTTTGGCTGGAGACGGCAGTAGACTTTTCTGTTCTGATTCACTGATGGTTCCATGTTTTAGAGGAAGCTCTGTAGATGTAAATTAACTGTAAGTTTGGACCTTCGTTTTCCTGGCGGCCACACAGCCACCAGAAAAACGAATATCCAAAGTCCGATATTTAATGTATTTTTTTTTTCTTTTTTTTTAATGGCAGTCAGCACTGGATCCTGCTGGATGATCAGTGTAATTTCACAATACCAGTGGAATACGTTCTTATTCTTTTGGTATTTAATGGCAGTGTTTGCTTGTATTTGTTTTTGTGCTTCACATGTGACTGCTTCATGTGAGAAGAGTTTGCACACTCACTGTAGTCTGGTGCCTCATTCGAATGAAATTTCTTTTCAGGAGAAAAATAGTTAAACAGAGGCCAATTCGAACATGAATCTTTACTGTTGGATTTTTTTGTTCATTTATCTACAGTGGTCTATTCAAGCACTGGGCCAGTGTCATAACCTCTAGGAAAAATACCAGTTTCACTATATTAAATTTAAAATTATTTTTTTGTTTTATTCAAAACTAAAAGAGCAACAATTATTCCCTAAGCAGCTGGATTACAGTAACATCCAGTGGATCTCAAATGTGTACACATCCCTATTAAAAAAAAGAAACATATTTTTATAGCAATTTCTTAAGATAATTTGACAATTCAACTGAAAATATAACTGATCTGTTAGACAAAATATAAAAACACATTAACCCTGATGCATACGTTTGCACACCCTAAACTCCAACATTGTTAGGGTGAAATAAACTTCAGCATTTGGTTTTCTTTGAGTCCCACATAATAACTTCAGAATATCTGCCCACTCCTCTGTGCATAAGACTGATTTATCTTTTAACTCTAGCTGGCATTTTCAACACTTTTCTTATGGTGAAAAGTGACAGTCATTTTCATATAGCGAATGTTGAGCATAAACTGATGGGTTTGCAAAAATCCAAGTCCAATCTGAAGACAACCAATCCCTTAACATTTTATGGCCAATATCATGTTTCATTATAATTAATGTGTGATTTGGTAATTGTTATTTCTGTGATGCCTGTATTTGTTTGATCATTCTCCTTTTAACTGAACTTGGACTACTTTGGACTACAGATCTTCTGTCCAGTATCCTGCTTTGTAGTACAAACCTAATGTCCAATTCAGATGATCATTGATGTCTTGTAATGGTTTTGTTTTCCCATGTTATTGAATTGTATTGAAGGTATGAGTCATACCTTCATCCAATGACAGAAATGTGATCAATTGTAGCCTCTCCACAAACTATGGCTTTAGCTAAAAAATAGAGATGCCAGGAAATCCCAAAGTGAAGGGGGACTGAATACTGGAACTGAATCAAAAAGGTCACACAAGTCTGCAGAGCATAATTTTGTAACCATTTGTTTTTGCATTTTTTTCACATCTTTTTGGCGAGCTCTGTTTTTAATTTTATCTGCACAGAATAAATGCCAGATTAGATCAGGAAAAGGTTTTTGAAAGGATTTATCAATTCCTTTAACGTCTCAAAATGCCTTTAGTTGCATCTTTGAAAACCCTTTTGTTGTGCAGCAACAAGTTAATACTCACCGTTATGCTTCACTCAGCATCGGATCACCTTTGCTCTCTTTCTGGCATCTCATTAAAGATTTAAAATCTAAAAATTGTATGATGGAATATTTTTTGCGTTTTGTTTTAATGAACAATTTAAAATATTTGTTCGTTAAAACACAGCAAAACAACCCATACCTGCTCAGTTCAGGGCACTTTCAAAGATTTAACACGTCATAGTTGGGCACAAACACTAAGCTACAGCCATTCTGTGCATCATAAAAATGCCAGATCATGGCCAGATTATGGCCGGATTCTTTAAAATGTGCAAAAAATGTAGTTCAAATTAAAACACGAGGCTCTCAAAACTAAAGCTAAAAAGATAATGAAATAAATAAAACATCCAGTGGCAACAGAGTAAATTATGTCCCACCAAAAGGAACAACTGCTCAGAGAACCAAAACCTTTTTACACAGCAAAAAAGAAAACATTTTAAAAAATGCTAAATATAAAATAAAGATTTGATCAACCAAATTATTTTATAGGTTATGGTAAAATAAATAAATAAAAATGTTATAAAAATAAAAAAAGGGCATCAGGCAGAAACTTTGAGCCCAATCCCTTGATGAACCATTGCCAAATTTGTCCATAGCAATATAAGATGGAGTTTCTCTTTTCATGCTGCTTTGGGAAAAGAAAGTATGTTCAGAAGCGCAGGAAACGTAGGTTTTAATCTCCACCGTGCACTTATAACACACTTTAACTATAATTTAGCTAAATTTTCATTCACAAACATCCTGCAAGGGAATAATTCTATACACTTGATATATTATTTGCTTATTTTATAGGAACCAACTCCCATCATAGCTGCATATTAACTAATAGAGACATTCATCTGATACCATGAGTTATCTCACGACATGCAAGCGGTAACATTTTCCTGAGGTATCTGAATAGTTTCAGTGGAAGCTGCGTCAGTCACTCACGAGTATTAAAATTCCTCACAAACTTAGAATTTTATTTTTTTTTTACCAATTTGAAAACATTTCCACCAAGCAAATGCTGAACTACCAAAATTTGAAGACGACAATAGATGCAATGTAAAAATGGGTACCAGAAGAGTGTAAATGTTTTTTAAAAAAGAAAACCCTCCAGGAGTTATGTGGTTGTTTCCAGCTGTGGTGGTCAGAAGTGGCCAGGAGATGCAATGCTATGCAGCACAGACCTCAAAGCTGAAATAATTATTTGCAATGACATCTGAAAGACAGCCAGTCTGACCTTTCTTTCTTTATTGTTTTTAAATTTGTCTCTGTTAACCCTAAGACCTCTTTTTTTTCAACCCTCACTGAGTTTTGTCCCATGCTGCAGTAATTTGTTTGCAGACAGGCTAAAAGAGTCTTTCTATTCCGGAATCAACATGCAACACGTGAGTGTTAACCTAGCAGGCGGCCTCGAAGCCGCTGATGCTGTTTGGACATAGTCTACCACCTGCTTACCAAAGACGGTCGTGATGTGGGACAAAACACAGCAGACTAGTAAAGTCGCGGGAGCCGCATGAGGCTAGAAGCTGCTTATCTCAAAAGAAATGAACCTGGACTAGTCCTAACATCTCAGTTATGGAGGATGTGCAGGAAACAGGCCTCTCTAAACAGTGACTTCTTAAAAGAGGCCTGTTAGCAGTCACTCAGCTGTTCACTGTTGATTACCTACCAATCATAACGGCACCAGAGGCTGACTCGGTGTGTATACTCCATGCCAGAAGGTTTCAGTGGAGTTTCAAGTCATTGTTGTCCGTGTGCTTAATGTCGTCTCGTGTGTGTGTGTAAGTGGGGCATTTATCTCCTATCCTGAACCATGTGTGGCACAGAAATCCCTGTCTGTAAATCAGCTCCAAAATGGCCTTGAAACTTTTCTCTCTGGTGGCCGTGCAGCGCGGCTGTCCGTTCACCGAGGGTTTCCAGAAGGTGCTTTGTATGAAAGTGACAATAACCTTTATTACAGATGTTGTGTATATCTTTGATATTCCGATGTTTATCCTATTTTGTGAAGAAGAGAGAACATTTAGAAAAAAAAAATCCAGAAACTAGTTATATGTGTGTATGTATTGGTATTGCACAGGGTCTGATCTTTGCTTTGTAACTTTTATCCCCTTCATATGGCTAAAAGTATGTTAGATATTTTCTAGCTTTGTAGAGACTTTGTACGCATATGCTATTCAGTTTAAATAAATTGTCAGTTCTAAACTGTGACTTTGCTTTATTTATTCATTGCTTCTTCGCTTCAATACTTTCTGAAATGAAAAATGTTCTTCAAACTGAACTAGCTATTGTGTATCAGTTTGAAAAGATGGAGCAGAAAGAGCTCAGCAGTGACAATTAACAACATTGATATCTAGAAGGGAAACACTGTCGCTCAACTCTTGGGTTTCTACACTACATGACAAACACTGGTGTCTTACTGGATTTTAAGGTGAAAAGATTTAAATCTGATTCAGAACATTTCTTTAAGTTGAAGTCCACATATAGATTTCATAGAATAAGAAACAAGTGTTAATTCAACTGAGCTTTCTATGTTTCTTCACTCCATCGACAACTGAGACTTTGACTGAGGCTTTGCTAAAGATTTCTTTTCTAGCTAATGCGTTGTAGAGTAGCTGCTGTGCTTGACATTGCTGTTCTGTTAATGACCAGTTGGACCGGGCTCCGGCTCCTCTTTAGGTTACAGAGGAGTTAACAGTGAACTTAATGACTGCAAGGTGCCCAGGTCCTTTGGATGTCAACAAGCCCTGGTCATCAGCAACACTGATGACGTTGTGTTAGACTCGAATGAATTTAGATGCTCATCCTGCTGCAGAGTCTTGGATGCGTTGCATGGTCTGACATTGGGATGAATCTGAGGACACATCCACTCCTGGGAAGACTGGCAGCTGTCATAAATGTTTTCCACTTGTAGATCATCTCACAAGTGATTATCTACACTTGTGAGATAATGTGGTTCACTATTCCACGCAGAATGGTGGACCTGAAACAGCTTGAAATAGATATGACCTTATAACTCTTCCGAGATTAATGAGGATAATCAGATCTAATCCAGTGTGATTTATTTATTTATTTATTTTGTATACTTAAGGTCAGTTATACACAATTTAAAAATCTATTTTTAAACTTTATTTATTATTACTATTAGCATCAAATCCTATAATTTGGAGGTGATGTATTTATATGTGCTTTCTTCGTGGAAGGACAGCATATTTACAAAATTGTGTTTTAGGTTTACATTTGGAGGGGATTATGGAGGTCAATATTTTACTTCACCACATTTATTCACACCCGTTTATTTATTCACAATGTTTCTTTCGAGATACTCTGCATCTCTAACTGAACTGTACTGAGCTTTAACAAAACGGCTAATAAAAGTATAATCATCAGGAAAAATTAAATAGGCATTGGCTGCACTAAACTGACGTGCTTCAGGGTGTGTTCAAAAACACTGGATTTTGTGGGGTTCCATTTAGAGCAACAAAAGTTTAATTATACAATTAAAAACTAAGATTTAATGTTGACAAAAGCAGCCAATATGCAAAGTTTATACACGGAACCAGTGAAAAGTTTCAACACACCTTCTCATTCAATTCAATTGGAAATTGGGGCCAAAACTAGCACATGTTCATTATTTAGGGGGAAAAAAAAACATTTTAATGGTTCTCAAAAGCTTTAAATTAGCTTGTCCAAACCATAGTGACCAAATGACTCTCCAACATCTGGAGCCATGCAGCCTTAAATCTGCCAATCCTTCAAAAACCAGGCTGAGATAGAGAATAAATAGACATATTAGAAAAACACCAAAACAAACATTGGAGTTTGAGCCAGGCTGAAGACATATGCATTTGAAATAAAAGTGAAATGTTGGTTCATGAATAGTTCAGATGGGATAGATAGCATTTGTTAACAGACACTTGTTGCAAACTCTGATTTGGATTTGGGTTTTGGTGTCCAATTCTCACCTGTTAGCTCTGCAAACTAATATCAGAGTGGAAGGAAACGGCCGCGTGCAAAGAGTCGCTTTTCTGAAATGCAATGCCCTGTTTGGACAGCAGAGTGCGCTACAGTTTAAGAATTATAACTCCGTTTTTTTATGACATGAGAATCAAAACACCAGCTTCTAGCAGACTTTCACTGTAACAAGTCCAAGAAAATATCTGACAAAGATGTTACCCAACTAAGTGAATGTTTAGGTTTACATTTAAATTGGAACTTTTTTAATTAAGCATTTATAACAAAACAACAAATAACAACTTTAGAACATTTTCAACCCACTCAGCTTCAACAGCCTGATAGTACTCTTTATGAAGCCTGCTTCCTTGGTCTTGTTAATTCTGTTGACATTTCAGGATCCAAACCTGACAGCTAATAATAGATGCACAGGTCATACACGGTGTGACCTCACAGGAAATGAGATCAAACACAGGAAAAACGTTCTGCTCTCACTTACTCTCTCTCTCTCTCTCTCTCTCTCTCACATCCCAGACGCAGGAACGACAATCCTCTTAATCCAAATCTACTGTTTGTAATGCACGCCTGCTACACACACTGCTGCTCTGGGTAATACTGTCTGCCCGTGTCTGATACGTGAACGCCTCCTCCCGTCTCTGCATGTGTGTGTTCACATTCCCAGGTGGTTTTCTAAAGCACTTTATTTACCAACAAACCTAGCCTGAGTGGAGGCTGCAGAACGCAAACATTAATGCTGCGTGTCGGGGATAGATACACACACGCACACACATGCACACACCAGAGTCGGACCACTTAACGCAGAACATATTCTGCTCTTAAACAGGGGATTACTGCTTCAGATATTATGCGAGAACTCTGCAGGGAGTAAAAGATGGATTTCCTTTGGCTTCTCAGTCGACTCAGTTGAGCTGATCAACATTCAGAGATAAGATTATAAAGACGAAGCTGCGTAACAATGCGGACTGCAGAATTAAGGTTTTATCATCAATCCAATGTTTTTTTTTTTTTTTTTTTTTTTTTTTGCTTCTAACCCAGATTCATCAGGTTAGTCATTTAGGATAGGCTACTGCTAAAACCCTTAAAAATTATATATATATGTAGATATAAATATAAATATATAGGCTATATATTAAAAACCCCACTCCAAATCTTGTATTACTGACTAAATTAGGAACTAATTTCAATAAATCTACCAGTGAGAACATGAAGACATTAATGTAAATTTACATTTATGCTTAACTGTAAATTTGTCCAAAAAAGATTAAACAACCTCCGAAGTGTGCAAAAAAAAAAAAAAGTAGATATGGCTCCACAAATCGTCACTTGACTGTGACAACTTTACACTGGACACTTTGCGTCTTGATTTCTGCATCTCTGCTCTATTCCGTCAGACTCTGGGATCTTGATTTCCAAATAAAATGCAACATTTACTTTAAGCTGAAAATAAGGATTTGGAGCACTGAAGAACAGGCCAGAAGCCCTTATGCCAAATGACATCTCTCTGGCATTGCTTTGTGTTCATGAATGAATGAATGCAAGGAATGTGACAATTACAGCCCGTGCCCTTGATACATCTATATGCTGAGAATTAAGGCTTGAGAATCTCACCAAATTGTTCAATAGACCCTTCAAGACTGTGGTTCTCAACATTGGTTGCACGCCCTTTCTTTTCCAACCAAGTTTTTCTTTCCACCAAACTTTCTACTGACTGGTTAGCAGCTTTTACAATAGCCAAATTGTGAAGCTAAAACACATATCTCTGTGAAAATATTTTTTGCAGTCTTCTTGGATATTCAAGTTTGTTTTCGGTTTTTGTTAGTTGTGAGAAATAATCATCTGTGAAAAAGAAATGCCAGAAAACAGATCATTTTGTGAATAATAAACTTGTCTGAGATTAACATTTCATTTGCATCAAGGAAGTAAATATTTTTCTGTCAAGGTACAATTTATTCACTTAACTTTGACAGTTGTCACAGTTTATTTATTTATTTATTATCAGAGTGGCGGAGACGGGCTTCCGTATTTATTTACCGAGTTTGAACAAACTGAAACAAAAGGCACCTCTGATAATCAGAGTGCAGGTTTCTGAATGATGATCAGTGGGCAGAGAGAGAGAGAGAGAGGGGGGGGGGGGGGGGGGGGCGTGTCCCGGCAGCTCCCGCAGCCTCCTGCTTCTGCCCCGCACATCAGAGCCGCCTGTCCCGACGCAAGGACGCTGTTCTCCTCCTTTCCTCTCCTCTTCTCTCCTCTCCTCTCCGGAGCAACAGCAACCTGCCCCGGGGGAGAGGAACGAGGACCCGGTATGCAGCCTGCAGACACACCGGGACGGGATGTGAACTTTCTTTTGCTGAGAACTTTTAATGATTTCTTGAAGAAGATGCGGGTTTTCCCCTGCGTGATCGGTTAAAATCAGCAGAGGAAGCGCGTCAGCAGCACATCGATTGGAATCAGGAATATAAACATAGAAACTTCTGTAGCAGAGATTCACTGGGAAACTTTTTTTCTTTCTTCCTTTTTGGAGATGGAGCCCGAGGAGGGGAAAGTCTCGGTGTGGGTCTGCCGAGAGGAGAAGCTGGTCTCCGGACTGACTAAACGAACCACCTGTGCCGACGTTGTGAGGGTTCTGCTGGAGGACCAGAACCTGCAGCAGGGCGCCGCAGCCGCGATGCTGTCCGGCTCTCCGCAGTCCTACTGCGTGGTGGAGAAGTGGAGAGGCTTCGAGAGGATTTTGCCCAACAAGACCAAGATCCTGCGGCTGTGGAGCGCCTGGGGGGACGAGCAGGAGAACGTCCGGTTCGTCCTTGTGAAGAGCGAGGCGTCGCTGCCCAACAACGGGCCCCGCAGTGCCGAGGCGCGGGTCGTCCCGAGCCGGGACAGCGGCGGCCCGGGCGGGCTGCTCAAGGGCACCGCTAAGAGCTGCTGGGTCGCCGCCGCGGCTGCCGCCAACATGTCCCAAGAGAAGCAGAGGCGCATCGTCCGGAAGGCCTTCAGGAAGTTGGATAAAATGAACAGAAAGAAGGAGCAGACAGTGCCTAAGGATAAAAGCTCAGTGGAGAAGATGGAGACTTTGGTCCACCTGGTGATCTCGCAGGACCACACTATCCGGCAGCAGATCCAGAGAATCAAGGAGCTGGACCGGGAGATCGAGCGGTACGAGGCCAAAGTGCACTTCGACCGCATCAAGAGACACGGGGTGAACTACGTGCAGGACACGTACATGGTGGAGTCCTCCGCGGAGGGCCCGGCTCCATCTGCGGACGGGAAGCGCAAAGCGGAGCACCAGGACGTGCGCTGCACGGCGGAGGCGCTGGCGCAGTTCGAGGAGTACGCGCGCCGCTGCGAGGAGGTGGTGCGGCTGCAGGAGGAGGTGACGGAGCGGGAGGCGCTGGTGGAGAGCATCACCGGGGAGATCCAGGAGGAGCTGAACCGGCGCTGGATGAGTCGGCGGCGGGACGAGGGAGCATCGGAAGACGCACAGGACACCGACAGCACCGCGGAGGAGATGAGCCTCTGCGAGCCCTCGGATCCAGCTGTGGAGCCAGATGTGGAGAGCCTGTCAGAAAACGAGCTCCTGCTGGAGGAGGAGAGGATAAAAACCCAACTGGACACGAGTCTGTACATCGGCCTGAGACTCAAGACGGACCTGGACGCCATCAGAGGGGACTTGGACCTGGGTCTGGCACTCTGGGAAACCAAAGAGAGTGAACTGTTGGACCTGCTTGCCAAAGTTGAGACCATGGAGCTGGAGCAGGCAAACAAACAACTGACTGATGATGAAAAGGAAGGACTGCCTGTGAGCAGTGCAGAGGCTGACCGGGGGTCAGTGGAACAGAGCACGGGTTGGGTGGAGCAGGCTCGGGGTCTGTCAAAAGCCAGCAGCATCAATGACGAGGATTCAGACACGGGCTTGAGCTCGATGCACAGCCAGGACTCCGACAACCCTCCCGTGTGTGAATCACTGGTGTAATGCACCTTTGTGTCACGGCATCTTAGGTTTTTATGCAATTCAATGAGACAAACTCAGTGGCATTGAGAGAAATCAGTCTTGGCTTCCCAAAATATAAACACCACAACTCTGTGTGACACTGAAACTCTACAGCAATAATCTCTGCATAGTCACGGCACAATAAGCTTAGACAGGAAAGCATGTGTAGTAGAGGCTTGGTAAGATGTGCAGCTCCATAAGCTGATCTCTGACCTCTGTCATTGGTCAAACAACATAATTTATTAGAAGTAGCCTGGAGGAGTGTTATAACTATTAACTTATGATCCATTGTCCTGTAACAAATGCTGAGATAAACATGATCACAGTTCACAGTGTACTAAGTGCATCTACAATGGCGATAAACTACAGCTTCAATGTAAGAGTCAAAATAGGCTGTGATGTTTATTTCAAGATATATTGGCATGTCAGCAGCAGAGGTGATGAAAACAGAGAGAGCAGTCATTTCAAAATAAAAGTAAAAAAAATATATCACCACTTGCTGTTTCATATTCTGAATAGTCAAAACTTCGGAAAAACAAACTTGTAAGTTTCATAATTTGAATAAAAACATCAATGTTTACATATCCTGCTAAGCAAAACTGAAGGTTTACGTAAAGTTTGTTTTTGTCTATTTTCCTCTCAGTTACAGATTATTATGGGATAGATATGGGATTCTCTTACAATGCTCACCTGACTTAAATTATTTTACTTAAAGAAGAAAGTTTACCCTTCTGTTGTTCAAACAAGGCATTTAAGTACCTTAGTGCTACACATTTTGCCTCCAAAGCATAGATTTAGTAAAAACAGATAAATAAAACAACCTAATAACCACCTGTTGGACTTGAAGGTAGTTTTTGCAAGCAGAAATCCTATCAAACTACCAAAGTTTACATTCTTATTGGCATTGAGAAAGCTGAGAGCCTTTCTTTTAGCCAGCTCACTGGTTTTGGGCAGCAACAGGTGTTGGGGTTTTGATACCACTCCATGCTCCATACAGCCAGATAAAACTGCAGTGGTTCTGGCACTTTCTCTGGTCTCTCAATAAAAAGACTTTGAATCAGTTTTAATGCTCCAGAGGGTTTGAAACAACTTTTCACAACCTTGACAATGTCCCATGTCTAATCGTAAATTTTATTTATTTATTTTATTAATATGCCTCTTTTACTGGTCCACTGTCTAAAAATTAAACATTTATTTTTTGACACAGTATGCCAAAAAACCTTTCACTCTTAAAAATAAAAAGCAAGAATTGAATCCAGCATATTTTATAGCTAAATGTCTGTGTCTTAAATCATCTTAATCTGAAAACAAAGAAGGCGTCTCCTTGCTTTTATTTTCACCATTAAAGTTATACAGGAAACAAAAGGAACAGAATTTCATCAAAAGGTAAAAGAAAACTAGTGATGATCGATATTCAGAACAATTATTTCAATGATGTTATACAAAAGTGTTTAAAAACATTTATGTTCAGTTAGAGTTTGGAATTGGGACATTTTTCTTTATTTGGGACATTTTCAGCTCTGATTGGTGACTGGCGGGTCAATTAACAAGTCAGATTAATTTCCCTGGTCATTAAATGCATCCAAAACTATTTGGCTAATAAAAGCTAAACACTTATTAGATTAAGACATGAAACTAGACAGGTAAGGAGTACAAAAAGTGGGTTTGATTATATTCTAAAGCATAACTGAAGGATATGAGATAAAAGTAGAAAAACAGACAAAACAGCAAAAGCATGCAACAATCGTAACAATTGCTTACATTAGTTCATTATTACCATCACAGAATTAATATTTTTGTAATTCTTAACTTGTTTTCCCCACATTTCTCCCATCACTGCAGTCAATAATGGTCTCATAAATAGGTTCACCATGGTTAAGAGTTGATCTGGTCATTTTTATATTAATTGTAAAAGTTCAGTCCAGCTACATTGCAAATTGCCTCTAACCATTCATGACTAGCAAAAGAAAAGGTTTAAAATGAAACAGACTGCGAGTGATTGAAGCAGAGATCTCACATTTAGCCCCCGTTAAGATCCACAATCTGTGGATCCTACATTTCACTCTTCTGTTAGATAAGACCTTCGATCAGAAGCTCCTCTGCCTAACCTCTTAAATCCCACATGTCACAGTTTGTCGGATCGACTTTAGGTCCCTCCGATGACGTCATCAGGCCGCTCTAATGGAGTCAGGAAACATCGTACACCTATTTTTTGTTCCTGACTGGTATTAGCTCTCTGACGTTGAATCTGTTTTAAATCTCTGTTTGGATTATTGCTGTAACATCAGTTTGGTTGCTCTGAAGGGCTTTGTTTCCATGTAAAGCTTCTTACTCAACTATAATCAATGTGGGCCAAGAAGGAAAGGCTTGTTTTTATATCAAGGTTCAGGTCAAAGAATTGTTGCTCCTTTGTCATAGAAATGTTGTGCAATGCATAGTGAGACAGCATGTCTCCACGCTCGTTATCTAGTGTGTCGTAAACAGATCCATGTGAACATTTTGGGAAATCTTGCATTCATTTAGAGCAGACTGACACGACTAAAACTGTTACACTGACTTACAGGAGCAACGCTGTATCTGAATCTTTGCACCGCTGCACGTGCAAGACCTTCTGCGGGTACAAACACCTGTAACAGAATTGGACTTTGAGATGCTTTTTGGAACAGACCCATTTAGTCATCCTGCAGTCGCTGCATGTCTGAACGCTGTGACATTAAGGAGAACTATTTCCAGCCTCGGTTCCCTTTTTTCTTTTTCTTTCTTTTTACCCTGAAAATAGTTGCTGCAGAGAAGTGTTCGCTGTGCTTTCCAGCCGAGCTGGCTCCTCTGAGACCTGCACAGACAGCAAGCATCGCAGCAGAAGTGATTCATCACTTTAAGGTCTTCCTTCAGTAAAAAAAAAAAAAAAAAAAAAAATACATAATTTACTTTGTTTGTCGTCAGGATGTTGTGTTGTCAAGCTTACATGTCTGACTCTGTCCAAGTGTAAATGTGAGCAATATAATCTTTGTCACACTTAGATAAAAAAAAAGAAGATGATACTGTTCCTGTGGACTTACCAAAAATGAGCTAATTTATGTCTCTTGAGCAGGGACTCTGTAGGCCTCTCACTGACATTCAGACTTCTTTTTCTATATATTTGGCACCTAGTTTAGTAACTCTGGACTGAAAAAAACAAACAAATTCACTGTGGAGGAAAGATATCATCACTCAGCTGTTAGAGTTGAAATAAACGGCAACGTCTGAATCTTTGTCTTGTTTTATTCATTGTGACCTCAAGGCTCCGACGCGTTCATGTTAACACTCCCTTTTGCAAGAACCAACTCTCTGGAATTCCCAGGTTTTTGCGTTCACCTTAAAATGTAAAATGCTTCAGCTCACTGTAAGTTTATGGCAAATATTTATACAGCATGCAGGGTTTCCATATGTAATCTGCAAAAGGATAAATAAGTGAAAAGGAGGGAAAGCTGAAAGGAGGCAAGAAAGGAAGGAGAATGCTCAGAGGAAGGAAGGACATGAGAATAAATCAACGAAGGGCACCAGGGAAGAAGCAAAAAGAGACAAGGAAGGAACAAAGGTAAGTGAAGAAGGACGGACTCTACAAAGTAAGGGGTGATGATACAATGAGGGAAGGTTATGAGAAAGCAAGCAACCAAGGGCATAAGGAATAAAAGAAGGAAATGAAGCATAAGGTTAGAAAATTATATCAAGAAGAGAAGGAAGAACACAAGGAAATCAGCAATGACACAAAGAAGGAAGCATATAGTCTTTAGACAAATTCTGATAATGAACATTTTTTTCCATCCTCTTATTATTTAACTTTTTCTAAACTTTTCCAGAGCTGAAGAACAGCGAACTCAAATTCCATCCTCTTCCAGACTGCATCGGATCTCTGTGACTTAGTGCTTCACAGACGATCCCTTGAATATAGTGAATGGTGTGCTTGTGTGTGTTTTTAAATGGAAAAATGATTTGCATACCTCATGGCTGCAGGGGCTGGCGTTTAAAAGGTCTCTGGCTTGTGTATGGGACATATTGTGCCATTTCTTTCCCGCCATGTCGTCACGACTTCTTGTGTTGAATCGCTGCTTGGTGATCTTGCATTAATTATGAGAGGTTGAAACAGAGACGTAAATTTAAAGAGCTCAGCCGTACGGCTCATGTTACAACTTAGTAACACATCCCCTTCATCTGTTCCTCAGGGATCAGTGGTTCCACTTTAGGGGTATGCTCTCCAGTTGTCCAATTTGTTGCTATGGTGTCAGGTTTTCTTCATACATGCACTGGATCAATAGAGTTGAACTGAGCACATTTTTGCTAATTGCTGCACAATAGATGCTCGTCATTTTAATCATTCCCTACTTCATATTTGTGCAGTCGCTCCAAAATGAATCAATTATTCAATTTACTTAAATAAACCTACTGTTCACAAGATGCTTCTCAGTGACTATTGATCATTCATATACTCATCTGTGTCTCAGAGATGCTTTGGCAGTTTGTTAATAAATACTTTCAAATGGTTGTTTTGGTTAATCTTAAAATGTGACCATTTACTTCTTCACTTTCACCCACTTCCTAGAATAGATTTTAGGCAAAAATAACAAGAAATCGTCATTTTATTAGCAACTCTTTTGTGTGTTGTTCCTTTGCATCTAGTCTTAAAAAAGGCACACATTTCCATTCTTCTACAACTTTAAGAAATGTATATTCATTAGTCACACTTTTAAGTCCACCAGCAGCCTTAACTTTTAACAAATGCCAAGATATATTCATGTCATGCTGTTTAATCCAAACTCCAATTCTACCATCTAAATGTCACAGTTGAAGCCGAGACTCATCTTAAAGTTTCTTTGTTAATATCTCAATGTTCAGTCTTGGTGATTCAGTGTAAACTTATACCTCAGTTTTCCATTCTTTGCTGTGTGTTTTTCTGCTCATGTAGTCCATCTGGTCCAAGTTTCAGTGGTCAGTGTCCAGAGAGGTTGAATTTTTGTCTTCTCGACAATGTTAAGCCACAATATATTCATTTAAAACTCCTATCTGGTCAAGTCCTGGAAAACAAATGAAATTCCAGAAATTCTTGACTGAATAAAACCCTGTGCAGGCTTCACAGCTCTAATTTGAGACTGGAGGTGTTTTAGGTGGCTAAAACCCACTTTGGGTTTGACTAGCTGTTACTGGGTGGCCAGGTTTTGTTGGCAATTAACCAGAGGCTCATATTAAAAACCCTGAAATATCCCTTTAAGTGCTATTAAGAAGCTCAAAGATGTTAAAATGACAACTAAATTAAAAGCTCTGCAGGAGGATTTGGATTCCAGCATAAACTCTGAGCTGTTAGAGTCAGCGAAACCAGATGTTTAATTCCACCATAATGACTGAAAGGAGCTCGGATTTTTGAAGTATTTAAAGTGGATGAACTGCAAATACTGTAGCAATCTTGAAAGGGGCTGAAGTGTCATTCAGAAAAAGTGCTACTTAAACATCAACTTTTGATGAAAGGAAACCCGAACAAATGAATGATGAAAGAAGGTCAAACGTCAATTGTCAACTAAAAGACGCAAGCAGGTACATTTGTTTATCTAGTAGAAGCTGGGAATTACCTCAATGAGTGGAGATATTTCTGAAACTGTGTGGTTGAAGGGGGAACAGTTCAACATCTCACAAAAATGCACAAACTGAACATTTTAGATCTTCTAAATCCAAAAACAAAGACCTTCATAAACCCGCTGAAACGGAGTTTGACTCTTGTGATGAAGATGTCAAAATAAAACTCACCTTTGTCCCCCAAAAGGACAATATCTCAGAGTTCAGTCTACTGACATCCCACTGATCGCTCTTGTCTAATTGTCTAAATAATGCCAACCCGGTACACTTGCGGCTGTCCACTACTTATTATAACTCCATTATTAAACCCTTCCAGGTTCTCACTCTGGTATTAATCAGTTCTATTGATATGTTAGTCTCCCTGTTTCTGACTGAAAAGCATTCAGTACGATCCAAGCAGGGAACTGATAGCTACTTTCTCCTTCAACATCAGTGACAGATCCTGGTTCAGTTACACAGATGGGTTCATTTAATATGAGGTCATTCGTCTTCACTTTCTGATCTCACGACAGAACTTCTCTTCCCTTACAGTAACATTTTGCATACAAGCCAAAATGCTCAGTGTTGGTACGATCTGACCAGAGAACATTCTTTTACAGATTTGCTGTGTCAACTGCATGAGCTGTGCAACAAGAGGCAAACTGCAAATAGGATTTCTTAAGATGATGATCTTTTCAACTTTCAGATTAGCAGCTTTCATCCTGCCGATCTTCTAGAGAGGCTAGACAAAGGGAATGCACAACTCAAGTCGCTCTGTGGACAGAGACCTCTTCATTGCTTTTCTGATCAAAACTTTTCTTTGAATAGTTTCTCAGTTTCGGTGGACAGGTCTTGCTAGGTTTTTCACTTTGTGTTTGTTCCCTAATGTTCTCTAACATTAGCAAACTTCTGACAAAACTCCAATGAATTGACAGAACATCTGGTACTGAGATTGAGGTACACAGAGGTGCAATTGGCTAAGTTCTCTTTAAAAGCAAATGGTTGCTCTAGATTTTATTTAGGAGTATAAGGGTAAAGAAACTAAGTCCAAATTCACTCAACAGTTCTCAGATTTTTACGTGCAAGTTGTGGTTTTAAACTGTTCTGTTCCTTGTGTTGGTTATGTACAAATGCCTAAAGTTCATGAATCAATGGTGAGAGAAACTTTGTTTCTGCTCTACCACAGAATAAGTCACCCACCCCCGAAAGAGTTCAATGTTATTTTACACCGTGGCTAAAACACAAACAGTGTCCCTATCTGCAGCGACTCTTTCCAACCCATTCTCTAAACAAGCTATTGTGTTTCTAACCTCTTTGGTGCCATGCTTGGCACACACACTCTGCGAGACCATTCATTTCAGTCAAAACACTGGAAATGATGTAAGTTAACATTTAGACTGGAAGAAATCCTTTCTATGCATGTGTGAGCAAAATTAAAAGGAGCAAAGATAAAGAAAAAGCGATACAGATAGATTATGCAACCTTGTTTGATGATTTTATGTGTGTGTGAGAGTGTCAGACCCCCTGGTGTTTTGTTTGGCAGAAACAGTGATCGGTGGTGTGAGGCCAGTTAGCAGCAGCTGCTCATACCAAATAACACCACGGTTTATATAATCGGACTCGTAAACACAAGCTGCTGGGAAGTTAGGATCATTGTGTGTGTCTTGGTTCAGTCTCAGCCAACCGCTTATGATCTCATGGACCGTATACATGCACTGGATGGCCAAAAGGACTCCCTAAGCCAAATCATTGGATCCAGGTGTCCTAATTACTTCCAATGCCACAGGGCAGCTTGACATGCAGAGTGCTTCTACAAACATATTTGAAGCTATGGGCCGCCCTCAGGAGCTCAGTGAATTCCAGCGAGGTGCCATCATAGCAATAAGTTTGGTCAAAAAAATTCTCTCACTGGTTATTCCCAAATCAGCACTCAGAACTGCTAGAACCACAAAAGAAGCTACTGGGAATGAGTCAGCCACAAAGTGGTAGGCCATGTAAACTCACAGAGAAAGCCCAGAGTGCATGTACAGGTCATAAACTTTCTGCTGAGTCAAATGTTACAGATTTACAAACTTCATATGATCTTCAGAACTGGTTCATTAAAGGATTTTCATGATCGAGAAGCTATGTCTCTACATCCAGCGCAGTGCAAAGCGTCAAATGCTGAGTGCCATTGGACTCTCAAGGAGTGGAGACGTTTCCTCTGGAGTGACAAATCTCACCTTCTTCTCCGTCTGGGTTGGACAAGTCTGGGTTTGAAGGTTGACAGAAAAACAGTGCTTGCCGTATGCTTACACTGTGTCAACTGCGAAAGGTGATGAATACTTTTAGTGTAGTGGAGTTTTTCATGAGGGGGGCATAGGCTCCGAGTTGCAGTGAAAGAAACTGGAACTGAAAATATATTCAAATGTTTACCATAAAGCTGAATATATGAATAAATAAATGTGCACTAAGCAGACGGTACATTTATTTATTCACTGCATTGTTTCAGTGAAATCTAGTTAAGACTGCTTGGTCATCATTGCCCCATATCTGTTTAATTCATAGAGATTTTTTTTAACCTCACCCGGGTGTAGGCCGCTCCTGCCAGGCGTTATTCCTTGGTGACTTGTTTTGTTGAAGCATGTGGCGTTTGGAGGTGCGTTGTGAGTCAGGATTCTTGGC